CCCCTTTGTGTGAAGGGCGGGGGAGGGGTGCGGGGCAGCCCCTGGCTGCGGGCTCCGCAGACGCCAGCCTTACCGCGGGGGGCCTCCGTCCGTCCCGCGGCGCCCACCCCTTCCCTCTGGGGGGCGCATTCCGCCCCCCCCCCACTCCGGGCTGCTCCCGGCTCGCCCTCTCCCCACGCCCCCTGCCTGGGCTTCAGTTCCTATAGGAAGGGCATCACCATCCCATCCCCACCCACCCGACACTTCGCTCTTTCCCCTCCCCCTCCTTTAACTTCCTCTTCTTCCCCCTTCGGGCCCTCGTCTGCTCTGCACTCTCCTCCCGGGTTCGCAGATTTCCGCCCACCTTCCGCCTCCCCGAGCCGCGCCGCAGCTAGCGGGGTGTTATTTTTCCCTCCCTCGGGTAGGAGTTGGTGAAGGTGAGACTCATGAGGGAATACAAGGTAGTGGTGTTAGGGAGCGGAGGGGTTGGCAAATCTGCCCTTACGGTGCAGTTTGTCACTGGGACTTTCATTGAGAAATATGACCCCACCATTGAAGATTTCTACCGCAAAGAGATCGAAGTGGACTCTTCCCCCTCCGTGCTGGAAATTCTGGACACCGCAGGAACTGAGCAGTTTGCCTCCATGAGAGATCTCTACATCAAAAACGGCCAAGGTTTCATCCTGGTTTATAGTCTGGTTAATCAACAGTCTTTTCAGGTAACCAAACCGAGTCTTGTAATTTGTTAGAAGGGGGTGTGGTAATCCTACATTTACTTCTGGTTTGCTTGCAGCGTGCGTAAATGACTGTGTTTTGCTTTTGAAAGTTAGACATGGCGCATTTTTGAGGTTACTCCTGGCACGGAAAAGTATCGAGTTGTTTCTATAGAGAGGACTAAAGTCACAGCCGTCAACAAATATTTTAAAGTTATTTTTAAGTCAAAGAGAAGTGAAAAAGAAGTAAGTCAGCCTGTGTATATTTAGCCTGGAACATAACCTTCGGAAGTTGCTTGTTCAACAAGTATTGATTAACTTACCCAACAAAGCGACATTTAACGGATAATCTTGGGCAAATAGAGCTCTTTGGAAAAAATTATTTGCAGCCCATTATCTGTTGCACAGATAATTCCTCTGCGTCTGCTTCCCCTCTCCCCCTCTCTTTTCTCACCCAAATTTCTCAACCACATATATAAATCTTAGTGCTGCGAGATGAAGAACTCAAGACCTGCCTTCGAGGCACTTTACTTACTTGGGGCGTGTGAAGGGAAGTTACTAATTGAAAGGACTAGGACCTAAAATTAATAACCAACAAAAATCTAGAATGACAGTCCTTTTTTTTTTGCAGTTCACCCAAATTGTTTCTGATAACATTGACTATATTTATAGGAAATATGTGGATCTGGGAACACGGAACAAGTGCTAACCCCCGGCTAGGTGGCCAAACTGGAGGTGGTCCACTTTCTTTGGAAAATCTGACCTGTCCTTCACTGGGAGACAGGCTGGAGGTTTAACATTATTTTAAGAGATGCAATAAATGTTGCTATTTATTCCTTGAAAATAAATAACCTCATATTGACCCATTATATTGACCTCCATTGATTTAGGAAATGGACATTTTTTTCTGCATTTAAAGGTATGCACTTAATGTTGCTTACTTGACATTAAGTGCTTGAGCCAATTCAATGTGCTAATTCCATTTTTCTTAGTTTAAAGTATTATAGTGAATTTTACCAGTAACCAAATGTTAGCAACTTCAGGATTTTTTTTTTCCTTTTAGAGATAATTACTTTGATTCGTTTCCCGGGAACTTATTGTGGCCAAACTAAAGTTCATTTTATGTAGGCTTAAATTCCAAGGCAATACTATTGTAAAAGCATTTTTCTCCAGAAAGTGCCAGTCTACTAAAGGTGCTATTTGACAGGTCTTTTCTTTCTGTAGGATCCTTGGGACACTTGTTATTCTATTAGCTGACTCTCTTGAGGCTGGCAGTCTTTTGAAGGGTTTCTCGTAAGATTTCCATTATATCTACTTCTTTTTATACACATAAATGGGGGAGTGAAAAATTGCCATTATTTCAGTGGAGACTTAAACTCTTTTAAGCCCAAATGCCATCAATTTGGATTCTCAGCTGAACTTGTGTTTCCATAAAGACACAGGGAAAAGAAGCTTAACCTAGAAGACTGAATTGATATGTGATCAAACAAAATTGTTGCAAATATCAAATAACTATGTTTTTGTAAATTTTCAGTCCCTTGTTTTTCCTTCATCCTGCATGTGAATACTGTTTAACTATTCAAATGAAACACATGTTACACCTAAATTAAACCTTTTAAGTTACAAAAAATCCAAAAAATGTAATGTTAGTATTAAATCTATAGTAGTCTTAAATCGATGCAACCCCCCAGTTGACACTCCTAGAGAATAGCTAAGGCTTTTATCTTTTGTAATTAATTATAATTACTTAGAAAAAGCAATACATATGGGAGAAAATGCCAGTTGTAAAACCGAATGTGAGCAAAGAAAAGTTTGACTTCTTCGCGCCCAGACTCCCCCCTGCGTTGTCCCTCCCAGGAGCTTCTCACCAGTGTACAGTAATTTCTAGTATTGAAGTGTATTTCAAGGATGAAGGCATACCATTAAATTTAAAATGAAACATTTAAGTGTGTGAACCTGTTTTTAACTTTGGTCCTAGGCACGACACAGTGTTTTTGTTCCCACCTAAAACACTTTCTCTCAAGTGCTCTTGCTAAATGGCTAGGAATGCATAAATGCTGCAATCCCGTGCCGGGATAACAGGTGTTACCAGGAGTGATGACAAGCCGGCAGGTTTAAGGAGATGGCCAAACACCCTTTTGTATGAATGGATTCATCATATTTGGCAATTTGCTTTTTAAATCAGTATAGGCTGAGGGAAAGAAGTGATTAAATGAGTCCTAAAGTTGATGTGCAGCCTATATTTTATATTTTTGACAGAAATCCAGCAGGTAGGGGCTGTGGAAATTATCCAGTTCCTGCTTCAGTGGAGAAAATGACATTTTCTCCATTTGAGTGTCTGGTTTTATTTTGGATTCAGCTTTCTATACTAACTGGAGGATGACTTCTTGTGATATTGCAATATTTCTGTTATGGTTATACAAACAGCATAATCTTTTTCTTTCTCTTTGTGATTGTTTAAATAGGATATCAAGCCAATGAGAGATCAGATTGTCAGAGTGAAGAGATATGAAAAAGTCCCACTGATCCTAGTAGGAAATAAAGTGGATCTGGAACCAGAAAGAGAGGTTATGTCTTCAGAAGGCAGAGCTCTGGCTCAAGAATGGGGCTGTCCTTTCATGGAAACATCGGCAAAAAGTAAATCAATGGTGGATGAACTTTTTGCTGAGATCGTCAGGCAAATGAACTATTCATCCCTGCCCGAGAAGCAAGATCAGTGTTGTACAACTTGTGTTGTCCAGTAAAAAAGATAACCTCAATCATGGCCATACCGAGCAGGTTAGTTGCTGATGGAATGTTACTTTTTTGATCAAGTATAACAAAAAGCTAGTTAATATTAATACACATTGTGCTACCTTAAATTTCTTTATTTTTTTAAAAAACATTTCCCTCAGCACAAAATAGTCAACATTCAATGTAGAAAATAAAAAAAATACAGATAAGTAAAATAAAGGTAAGAAATTGCCTATGTTCTCATTCCCAAGATTTTTTTATTTTTTAAGTGAGTTACTGTTCTTCTCTCTTTGCTTGATTGATAACATTCCTTTGGGGTGGAGTGAGTTAATATACCTCTTCCCTGTTTTGGTGATTTAGCATCCAAAATGCACAGGAGATCATCCAATAATAATTTGAGAAGATGATTAGTTTTATGTTTTCTGTGTTTTTCTATCCCAGGCTGGAGAGCTGCTTAATTGAAATCATCAATTTACTAATCACCCAAGTGTTTGATTTAATAGGATGATTATTTTAATCAAGTTCATCTGTACCTTGCACTGGAGGGACTTAAATGACCTCTGGTAATAACAAATTATAGTGCCACCGTGTACCTTGACTTCATTATAAATACATGGTCCAAATGAGAATCAGGTGAAATCATCTGTGGTGTATAGAAGGGACAATTCCAAGCCCAGGAAAGATTTGTATTCAGTTCAGTAAATAATGGCATTAATAATAACAGTAACAAAACCTTCAAGCTTTTCATTGAGCTAAATGGTAACTTAATGAAAGGTTTTTTTTAATGAATGAGTTTTTGGAAAAGTAGGATTATATATAACTTACTGAGCATTTAAGATGAAATTATTTTATACATATCATGATCTTTTAATCTAGATTGTAATTGGACAGATAGTCCCACTTAGACAGTGATACTTAGATAATAAGATAAGACAAGCAATAGCCTGGATGACCAAGAAGCCACAGAAAATGCCAGACTAGCCTGACAGTATCAGGAATGGAATTGATTGTTTTGAGCCAAGCCTGACCTCGAGTCTAGGAGGCAGTGTTGCAAATGGCAACAGTCATTTCAGATCGCAGAGATGATTCCTAATCAAAGGTCTGGCTTTATATGTGCTCCCTGGAGAAAAGACTAACGGTCCCTAATTTATCTTTGCAGACAAGATCTCCTGTCAGGTAGTGTCATCTTTGAAAATGAAGGATGACAACAGTGCTTTTTTTTTTCCAGAATGCTTTCACTCATCAGCTTTTTAGCATAACAGAATGTGATGAAAACACAGTTATTGTCTTACACCTAGCTACATCTGTTATCATACAGCGTCACTGTTCAGGCTGTAACCCAGCATATGTTTTGGTGATAGCATTGCACTTGCAGTTTTGTTTGTTTTGTTTTGGGTTTTTTTGAGGCAAGAACAGGCATATGTAGGTGACCGAGTCCAGTGTTCTTGTTTCCACAATGTCTTTTCTTAAATTATAAGCCAGCTTCAAGTGTGAACAAGCTCTGTGGTGTTGCATCTTTACCATCATGCTCTATTTCTCTATCTGACACTTTTAACCAGGCAAATGATAGAGTGTATGCATTTTACTTTTATCATCTTTATAAAAAATTAACCAGCTCCTGTAAAATGTTCCCAACTTTCTTTCCATCATTAATGTAGACAGCTATATGAGTAAACTGAATAAAATTGGTCTCTTATGTGTAGAGGACCACTGTCTTAGATTGGTAAATGGAAAATGTCTAAAGCTATTTTTAAAGCTTTCTTATTTTGAATTATTTCTGAGTTCATTTCATTTTGCAACTTTTGTGACTTAAGTTACTTTTAATCTACTTGATTACCTATAGGAATGATTAAATAGACCTTCTAATATCTCAAGCAAACTATGTTTATATTTTTTATTAATTAATGTACTAAAAATCAAAAACATTAATACCAGTAATTCCTCATTTTTATAATAGTTAAGTTGCCTGTATAGTTTTTATAAGCAGAATACATGATTGAAGGTGTGAGCCTTGAACTAAAATATCTAATCAGCTGGATTTCTAAAAATATTAGAGTCCCCCTGGCCAAGATCTTTTAGAACAAAGCACCCTCTATGCAGGTTTTTGCTGATACCGAATAAGATTGAACTGATGTGTATGGGGATCTGTAATCTGAGGCCCATGAAATTTGTGGTTGTGCTTGCTTACTATTTATCTAGGAAAATAGGTGATGGATTCTGAATCCTGTAGCTTGAGTCATGGAGCTCTGAAATCTGTCAGTCCCAGATCTAAATTGAAGATCAAACTTTGACAAGTAAAGGTGATTTGAGAAGTGCTTGTCCTTAATATTTAGAAGAGTACCTTGTCCAAGTTAGAGATAGTAAGACAGACTGTGATTGCTGTAAATTGGTTACTCTTGATTGAAAGGGAAAATTTATTAATGCTCGAAGAATGACTTCTGATAGTTCCTCCCATTTGTTTCTTACCACTCTTCAATTTGAGTCACCAGTCTCTTGCCCAGCACCTGTTTATCTGCATGACCCCGAGGATGATTTCCTCACCTTTCACCCTCCCATTGGCAGTAGTCATAGTGTAAGTTTGGAAGCAATGCCGGATTTCCTTCTGCGCTGCTCTTGTGGCTGGTTTTCTTACTGACGTGAGGAGCCTGCCATCAGGTACTTTGAAGGACTTCATTTTACTGTGCAGCAGGAGTATAATAGAAAGCCAGGTCAGAGTTGCAGCCCTGTTTTGGTTTTACTAACTGTATTATAGTGCCTCTATATTGGTGTCAGTAATTAACATTTGGCTGTTTTGATACACTGTTGTTGAGAATGATGAGCGTTTGGTTAATCATTTCATGATACTATAGAAGAAGTAAATCACAGTGCTGGGAGGTTCAGGGAAAGAAGAGACCAGTTTCAGTTAGAGCAGGTTTCTCCACATTCTGGGCTCTTTGTTGTGGGGCCTGGCCTGTGCATTGCAGGATGTTTAGCAGCATCCCCGGCCTCTACCTACTAGATACCAGTAGCATTACCCCACCCCGCCCCGTTCCCCGGTTGTGATGAACAGGAATATTTCCAGACATTGCCAGGTATCTCCAGAGGGGTAAAATTGCCCCTGGTTAAGAACCACTGATTTAGAGGAACTGGGAAGCAGTAGCATTTGAATCAGACTTTAAAGAACGGGTAGGATTTGAGTGGATAGCGGAGGGGTAGAGGTGATATCCAAACAGAGGGAATGCCAAAAAGAAAATAATATCCTAAATATTCTGTTAATTCCCTGAAAGGTTGAAGGACATTAAAGTTATCCCTTAAGTGTGACCATTTGGTAAATGCTCTGTGACAAATAGAATTGTTTAAAAGACTGTTTTTCAAGGATATCTTAATCCAGTAGTGACAGAAGTTATTATTGAAAAAAAAACCAGGAATAAAAAAGGTGTTCTTCCCTATGGTTTGAAGGTCTCCTGCAAGATTTCATCCTATTTTTCTCTCTGTATTATGAACGGATTCCCCCAACGAGAGTAAGTCGTGCATAAGAGTACCAAACACCAGGAATCAGACTGAAAGAACAAAGATCATTATTTATGTCAGCCTCAGTTCATTATATATGTCAGCCTGAAGAAAAAGGGAGATTCTTGATTCAAGACTAGCACATCATTTCACGTGGCAGCAGAATGCCCGGGATGTTAACAAAGGCTCCTGAAAGGCTGAACCATCTATGAATGTCATTTTAGTCTAGCTGGCCTTACTATTTCTAAACACAGTGGAATTGATTAGCATTTTCAGTTTTTGTAAAATAAATATGTAGAATCAGAATTGTTTCTCATCTTTTTTCCAGCTTTTAATTAGATATGTTGAGGATTTAGCAAATGAGAGGTGGAAATCATGAAAATTAAATCACATTGTGTGCTTTAAAATGCTGGCATTTTCATATCCAGGTTAAATATTAATCATATCCGTAAAACACCAGGGTGGAATTCTGTTGCTGAAGTTACAGTTTAGATAGGTAGTTTCTTTTTTTCTTTCTGCCCTATTTTGCATGTCACTTTGGAGAAAATAGCTTATTTTAAATGCTCACTTGTCAACCAGTTCACATAGTGAGTCAAAATGGAGCCTGTGGCGTGGCGGCCCTGAACAGAGGAGGGAGCTTGCTTTGGGGTGGTGTGCACCGTAAAGCCCTGCAATCGACCTGGGATAAAATGGGAGAACAGAGCTGCCTTACACTTTCTGCCCCCTAACTCTCCCAGACCTTCACTGACCCCCTCAAGGTTCCTGGTTTGGGACCGTTCAGAGTGGATAGGTGCCTAGTTAGACCTGCTCTGAGTGTAGAGGTGTCTGGTGATTAGACTGACTCTGTGTATCTGTTCCCTCTTTAATTGCTTCCTTTTAACCTCAAGATTAGGCTTTTATTGAAGAATGAAATGCATTTGAGCCATTCAGTTTTACTCTATTACCCCTCTAGCTTAGAATGAACCATCAGTAGAATTAACAAAAATTGCATCATGGAGTTGGAGAATTGCCACTGAGGAAGTGTTCTAGCCATACTACAGGAAAGATTCTCCTCATGGGATTACTTCTCAGTGGAATCCTAAAATCCAGAGGATAATATCACTAAGGAAAACTTAAGTCCTGTCAGCTGTTGGAAAAACTTATCCTCCCAAAAACATACTCCCAAATTCCTTTGATTAGCCACGGTCTTAGGAATATTGGATTCAGAAAAAGCAATTTAGAGTTGAGGGGAGCAGTCCCCTACCTGGTTTAATTCAAAGCTAGCAGCTGGGATCAGATCATTGGGCTCACACTGCTGCTTATTATCAGTGGACGTGGTCATACTATTTGCAGCCTTGGAATTGAACTCAACATACGAATTTAAACTTAGAGATTTTCGGGGTAGGACATAAGAAAAATACCTTTTCCTTTCCAGCCTGCATTTACCATAAACTTTAAGGGTGTGTGTTCTCCTTAAAGCATGGTTCCACTTCGATTCGAAGATTCTATGCCATAGGTTCAGCTTCTGCTATGTCTAATGTGTGACAGATGAGTGCTTTTAATGACCCTAGTCCTCCCACTCCATCCCAATAAGCTTCATGAGTATTATGCAAATTACAGTGGAGAAACAAACAGAAGATACTTAACAAAAACATAAACGCTATCAGCAGAATTCTAGCCTAGTGTTGTGCTAATATAACTTAATATTTAACTTGGATATGAAGATGCCAAGTGAAAAATGTGAAGGGATATTTATTTTTTAAAAACTTCCTTTGGTCTCATGTCTAAAACTGGAAAAAATTAAAATTGATTATGATTGCACATTTATATTTGCTAAGAAGAATGCTAGTAAATACCATTGTATTTAGAAATGCTAAATCCAGCTAAGCTAAAAAGACACTCATAAACTGCTAAGCCTTTCAGGAGCCTTTGTTAACATCCCAGGCATTCTGCTGCCACGTGAAATGATGTGCTAGTCTTGAATCAAGAGTCTCCCTTTTTCTTCAGGCTGACATAAATAATGATCTTTGTTCTTTTAGTTCTGTGTTTGGTACTCTGGTGTACCAATTTATCTCACTTGGGAGACCCTCTTTCATAATTTCCTGAACAAAAGGTTTGAACTGTTGTTTGGGATTAAAAATTTTTTTTCTCTTTCATAACAAAATCTAATTAGAAAAATGTGAAAAGTGAAACCAGTTAAGCAAGAGTTTCAGCAGAAGCCGCTAGAGCTAAGATTTGTTGAATATCTTGCTGTGAACTTGAGAGTGAGGACAAGGATCACTTGTGTTCTATCTCACAAGCAGCAAGTTATACTTTTGCAGTATGTCTGGATGTGATATCCTGGGAGTTAAAAAGTATGAGTTTGACCAGCTGCCTTTAAAGCTTCTGGAATGTTTTTTAAATGAATGAGAGTTGTTAGTATGCTGAAAATTTTTCTGTCACAGTGTGGAGCAATAACATTTACCTTTAGCATCTGTGAACTTCTAATCTGAGAGACTGTCCTTTTTACTTAATGCACGCTTTTGCTTCAGGATTTATTACTTCAGGTAATTTATTGCTCTCGAAAAGTAGCTGGTATTTAATACTTTGTTTGATGGTATGCCTCATATTAATATTGTTGAATCTGACCTGTTATTTATCTATGTCTCTTGATTTCACTGAATTATTGTCATCCTGTGAAATGTGGATGGACCAAATGTTAACCAGGTTTTTAGTGGGTGGGAAATAACGTATGTATCACCTTTTATTTAGTGTAGATTATAGTTAATAAGATGGTTTGTATTGTTTATTTTGGCAAGAAATAATTCCTACTTCCTCAGTTTGATTTCAGAGAATGCCTGAACTATTAATTCATCTTATATTACAAGTCTTCCCTATTTAAGAGACATTCAGATTTGAAAATCCCAAATTCTGTAATTATTTATTTTGAAAAATGTGGATTAAAATTTATAGCCAACTTATTAATTCAGATTATTGAGGAAAATCTAGTCTGAATTACTGAAAAATCCTCACAATGAATTGCATATATAATGAAATACTATTGTGTTCAGATAGGTATAAAAATTCAAACAAGGCTAAAAATACCAAGGTCTTTAATCTGGAATATCAAAGACATAATTCTGGTCTTCTAGAAATTTATAGCATTGCTGAGAAATGAAAAAAATACTTGACATTTGACATATAAGGTACTTTCACATAGTACCTTATGTGATATTTACCATAACCTTGTCAGGAAAGAATTATCCTTTTTTTTTTAATGATGAGAAAACTGGACTTGCCCAAGCTTAAATAACCAGTGTCCTAATTAACAACTGCCTCTAATACAAAAAAGTTTTAATTTTAATAGGAAGAAAATTTTCTATAATAATTTCTAAAGAGGTAACCTTTTGTTCTGCTTTTCCTAATGTGTTTAGGTGGCAGAATTTCAATAATAATGAACAGAGACACATCTTTAAAAATGAATCATTTTATGATATAGCTGCTAATAAAGAGTTCTCTCAGGCTCTTTGAACACTAAGAGAAGTGTAGTTGTCAAATGAAATGAAAATTATGCATATATAAACATTGGTAGAGCTCTTAGGTGATCTTAGGTTGGTTTCACTTGGCATTCTCTCATAGTTGCTATTCTACTCTTTGTTTCTGGCTTTATTTAACAATTTCTATCTTTTACATTAAAAAACAAATGTAATCCCACTCCCTTGGAAGCTATTTGGTAATCAACACAGTTAAAGGGCATTGTGTCTGAATGATAGATATTTCCCCCCTGGTATTAATTAGGAGGGCGGAAGTCTACCAGTTTTAAGAGAAGAGACTGAGACATCTCAATCATGGAAGTTTTTTATGGTTGGGAGGATGTACAGAAAAGGGCAGACCTGAGTGGGACGTTTGAACTGCTGTTGTCACCTAGCATCTTACCTAAGTCAGGCACCTAGTAGGTACTTAATAGCTAGAACTTGATTGAGTTACATTTTACTTTAAAAGTTCAAGGAAAAACCCTAAATTTTGAAGTTTTGCATACTGTCAAGTTAGTTGATAATCAGTATGCATTTAATTCTAATACTATTTCTCATTAAAAATACAAAGAGATCAAATTCAAAGTAGAATTAACATTTACCACTTTTATACTGTAAGATCTTTTAAATGAATAATAGCATTTTTAATATTGTATACTTTATAAAATATAATTAAAAAATAAAAGTTACACAGTGTGTTACATCCAATGCATCATTATAGTATTGCTAAAATTTAATGACTTTTTTGGGTCACAGAAAATTATTCTTACTTAAACTTATGGGGAACACAGTGAAATTCCACTTAAAAGTTCTGGTACCACTTCCATGTGTATATAGCTCTGCTGTCGGTGTTCTCATTTTAAACTATATTCTATATTTCTGCATTTTTATGACATTTTTATCTTAATTGCAGATAAAACTCAGAGGAAATTTGCACAGATGCTGCTTTGGAGAACTTTACAACCTGGGTTGCAGAACTGAGCCTTGGTAAACCTGTCTCTATTACAGCATGTTGCCATACATCTAATTAAGTGCATAAGGTCTTTGGCCTTCAAGATCCATTGACCTAAACAGGAATGCTTAGCACGTTTACCATATGTTTAAAATCTGTTCTTTATCAATCAGTCCTTTTGTAGCTTTCTTAAGTTCTTATTGATGGCTAATATGCAAGAATTAATTTTTAATATTTTAATTGATTTCTTTAATCAGTTTCTCAACTTGTATTTATTAAATACTCAAACTCAGTATTACCTACTCAATGCCTTTTAAAAGAAAGTTATAATGGAGAAAAATTGAGCCTTAAACAAATGGTTACTTCTGTATATTACCTCGCACCAGTGCTTCATTCTATTTGTAAAATCTTTCTCCTTTAAATAGTTGGTTAATCCTTTGAGACTTTGTTTACGTGTGGCAGTGTTGTAAAAAAGAAACTAAAGATCACCTTTTACCTGTATGGATGGAATATCCCTTTTCTTCAGGTGCAGTTTGTGATGTGTTTTTTGTAATTAAAATGTTCTGAACGTTACAATTGATATTTGAAATTGACTGTAGAGCATTTAGCTGAAGAGTTAAGCATTTGATTCCATTAGGTTTTCACATGTGTTAATCTCATTTACAGCATCAAATTGCAGCAGTAACATTTTCCTTTCTGTGAAGTTCTAAATTTAGTTATGACCTACTTAGCAATGCCTTTGAAAAGGGATATTGTATCCATGGTAAATTAATTGTATACCTAAACAGAGATAGCTCAGCTTTGCCTGTCAGGCTTGTAATTGACATCTAGTAGACTTCTGCACATGTAAAATTAAATTCAAATAAAATCATATACACTTTCTAGTTCTTAATATTTGTCTTTCTGAATAATAGTTTAAAGCAATATTTGTTAAAGTTTTCTTGCACTATCACAATTGCTTTTTAGTTCTTTCTCAAGAAGCATGTTCGTAGTAGAGACAAAAATCTGTGTAACAGGAGGGAGAATAGCGCCAAGTCTCTGGGCTTTTTTTTTTCCTTTTTCAAGTGTGCTTCCAATAGCCATTGCCTTCCATGTTGTTTACCTAATCAGCACATTTTGTCTGAATACTTGAACATTTTAACAGTAACACAGGTATAGAAACAGAAAGAAAACTTATAAAGAGTAACATCTGACAACAAGCGCTTTTTCTAGCAATGATTTTAACATTTTGTAAGGTTGACAGTATTTGTTGTTGGGTTTTTATTTGGTTTTAGTTGTGTGCTTTTAATTTGCAGAAGTTAGTAACTGCAGCTTACCTACTGCACCAAAGTTCTCGATTTTAGGAGCCCAGCTTTAGTCATTTGAACATGCTTCTAAATAAAACAAAAAAACCAAAACTATACTTTTGATCTATAATAATAGCTCAATAACTTTGTCAAGGAAAGCTCTAATATATGCAGTGATGGTTTTTGGAAGGGTGTGGCAATTTTAAATTTATATTGTGTGTGATGTTCCAATAAAGTGGTATCTACATTCATGTGATTTATTGGTCAGTATGACCATTAATTATTGCGTAGAAATTAATTAAACTTTGATTTCCTTTTTTTAAATCGTGTTGCATTTGATTCCTGATCAAATTCCCTCAAAGTGAACTCTTAACTTTAGATTTTAAATTTTATGGTGAGATTGTAAGGGTGGAGGCAATTGAAACATTATTTCTTATTTATAAACTGCTTGAAATGAATACCTAAATTAAGTTTGCACTTTAATACCAAACTTAAAACCAAACACTCAGTTCAAAGTAGGTTAAGTGATTGTGGTTCATCTGTATTAGCTGTGAGAAATTCTAAAGGAATCAAATAATTCATGATGATTTAAATTTTCCATAGATTTTATTATACAGTGTTTCTTTCCTATGGATTGTTCTCATTCTCTCTCTTTCTCACTTGCTCTCCTCCCTGCCCCCCCCCCCACTTTCTTGCTCTCTCTAGCTAGCCCCCTCGCTCGCTCGCTCGCTCGCTCTCGCTCTGTCACTGACTGCAGCAACAAATTTAACTTGAATTCACTTAGGATCACAGGAATCAGGGGAAAGTGATTTAAAGGTGGTTTCTCCAGCACATTTTAAGAAAAGGGACCAAAAGTTATTTTAGCTTCCTCAATAGATTGCATGTCAAGTTGCTTATTAGAATAATGAATTAATATTAAATGCAATATATGTCTCGTCTTTACTATGGCATCTGTTTAGGAGTGGTTCAAATCACTGCAGTAGGGCTCTGCAAATAAAATCATGTAACCTATTATCATGGATCTAATGTACTGTAACTTTATCAATGAAAGGTAAAAATCTCAAATAACAAGTACAAACATTGAACAATGACCTATAAAGATTTGTAAAAGTAAAATTTTTCCAATAGATTTCATTCTTGTCATTTTGTAAGACAACCCTGCAGTCCACCTGTTTGTAACTTTTTTAATAAAATAGACATCTGTATTACTGAGGTTGGTTTCTTGAATTATTTGGTGTATTACTACTTGTTACTTTTTATTGCTAACTTGTAAATCCTTTTCATAACTGAAAATCATTACTTTTTTATCAAAATGATAATGTATGTTGCAGTACATGTTTGAACAAGTTAAATGTCCACTTGTGTCCTTAGTCACCATTTTGGCATATGGGAGGGGAAACTGAGACATACCCTAAAATGTAATATCTAATTAATTGAATAACTTATAAATAAATTAGAAATGGGTAAAAAAGAATAATGTATATAACTTGTCCCATATGGAGAAAGTGGCCCAACTACACATCTGTGGGCTGGGAATTGTCCATGTATAGGAGATTATAGACAGTATTAAGCAATATGATTAAATTCTGAACTGCTGAATTCAGAAAGAAAATTCAATATAACTATCAAATTGTTTTATTTAGTGAAAAGTTTTGCCAGTCACTTTAATTCACTGCTTAACTCAGTATTTTTAGATTGTTGAACTGAATAGATGTTTTAACTTCAACGTTTTTTAAAGCCATAATGTTTTCTTTGAAGTTAGACAGTTCTGTCCAAATGCATTATGAACTGGATTTTTAAAAATTGTAAACATGGTTACATTTATATACCTGTGTTGTAACATACAGGAAATACTTCATTTATTCCCATTATCAGTCGTTAGTTGGGCTCCAAACAAACACCCTATATGTACTGTACCAGATGCTGTCCTCAAGTCCAAAAACCCTTTTCTATAGGAAAGGCACTCATGATTTCAGGGCCCTCCCCCATTTTTTAAACTAAAGGAACAGCATCCTTCTTCCAGTGAGGTCAACATTTTTAACCAAGTGAATAATAGAGAGAGAAGGTGAGAGGATGGAGTAGGGTAAATGCTAAGGGATACTAGCCTGACAAGCCATGTCCGTAGGGTACCCTGTCACAGCCAGGTCACCTTTATCTCTTTGCCTTCTGCCTTCTTCATGCTCTTATCTGGGGAGAAGATTCACGTAGTCATCACACTCCTGCAGGACAGAGCAGCTTGGGGTCAAGATCCAAGGCTATAAGACTTCTCGTTCAGATTCAAAGCAGAGACGGTTTTTCAGATAGGCTCCTGCTTTCACATATATCGAGTTCATTTGAACCTTACAGCTATCTGGTGATTTGGACTTCATTGTCTGCAGTTTGTTGTTGATGAAGCCATAGCTCAGGGAAGTTGTGACTTAAGATCATAAAGGCAAAGCTAAACGATTAAAATGTTGAGGAAGGTACTTTTGGACAAGTTTTAAAATTAATTCATCATCAGGTAGAGTCAAAAGGGTGCTATTAAAATTATAAAGCTCACAGAAATAAGATAAAAGACAGCAAGAAAGAACTGTTTTAAGTCAGTGTGACAGTTCATATGTAACAAAATACTATGGGTCCTATTCAAAGGTAATACGTTTGTTATATTGCTAAGTTTATGTAAGACATAAGCTATTTTCATTATAGCTATTTTTCTTTGGAAAGTCAATGTCTTAAATCAAGATTTGGCAGTCTTTGGCCGCCAGGCAGAATCCAGCCCAGTTAGCAGTGCCAAAAGAACTGTAGTTAGACTTAGCAGCTGTATCCTGGATCCACTGCAGAGCTCAGCTGCACCTCTTTTCTACCTAAACTTATAGTTTGAACAGAAGACCAGAAGTGCAGCTGATCCCAGATACATCCTTTGTCAACACACAGACCTACTTCTGTGCTTATGGGCATTACTTCCTATGGCCCAGGCTGCCCCATTCACAAACTCATGGTCCTGTCATTGTATTTTAATTTATGAGTTTCCTCCTGTAGACTGAGCTCCTTGAAGGTAGGGCCTTGCCTAAGTCACTTGCCTCTAGTGTAGTATTATAGGGGCTCAATAAATATTTTACGAAGTTATGGTCAAAAAATCAGTATGGCAGATGGGTGTTCACTCTTTAGAAAATTCTAACTCTGCCATTTCCTACTGGTCTTTTTTATTTCTTTTTTAGCAGTTAGGCAATATGAGAAATGCATTTTCTTTTCTTTTTACCCCCTTATAGAAGGCACTGGGGATTGAACCCAGGACCTCATGCATGCCAAGCACTAGCTCTACCACCAAGCCATACCTCCCACCCCAAAAATGCATTTTCTTCTCCCATCTTCATCCTCTACAGCACTAAGTTGAATTTCTTTTGCTTGTTTGTTTTGCTTTCTGTTTTTGTTTTCTAAGAGAAATTATTTCTAAACTCATTTCCAAGATAAATATACCATAAAGAGATGGGCCATAGAGACATACCATAAATATGGACTGAAGGGCCTTGAGTCTAAGATAAAATTCGCCAAGACTCTAGGTGAAGAATACAATCAAGAAAGAGTGTTTGCTGCCCATGCCTGGCTTTCCTCTCCAGCAGATCCCAAAGCTGACCCAGACCTGTCCCAGCCTCATTCTCAGGTAGGTCAGAGAAATGTTCACATTGGTTCCCCCAAACCTCTCAATTATTCCCCCTTTAATGAGATAATAATTCCTATTTTCCCTGTAAAACCACAGGTGATTCCCCACCTACACCTCTACAGTCATCTCCTTGCCCTTTAATCCTTGTCCCCGTTCCTTCGTTGGCCCTACCAACTACCTTCTACCCCATATAGACAAACTCCTACCCTTGCCCACTCCTTTCTCTCCACGTGAATCTTAAGATCGTTTTATGAGTAATAAAACTGATGCAAGTAGGATTTTTTTTTACTCTGGTTCCCCCAACTCTAACATTCAGTCTCCAAATCCTTAGACATCAATAGTTGGAGACACTTTCAGGTTGGCCTTAAACCAATGGAAGGTTATCCCCAAAATGTCAGCCCCTGGGATGTGCTTCAGTATCAGTGACCAGTGCAGTCTGCCATGTAACCGGAGACTCCCAGATGCCCCAGAAGGCCCTCCAGGAATTGGCTCCTGAGGCTCTAGATACTTCTACTCATGCTGTAAGCCCCAGGGAATGCCCTGGACTTAGTAGTCTGAAGCTCCTACCAGCTGCTCTAAGTTTCAAAGTTTGGAGGAGGGGTGGTGAGAGGGAGGGAAGAACTTAAGCTCATTTGAACTTTTTCTTGGAGCTTGAAAGTGGACAGTTAAATCTACAGTTGAGAAATGTGAGGATCTCTGGGGATTCTGATCGTTCAGTAAATCCCTGTTTGGGGGTTCATTGTTCCTCTGCTTAAGAGGGAGCCCCAAGAAGCCCTTATACCAGTGGACATGGCTTTCTCTGGTTTCCTGCAGTCTCCTTTGGAACACTTGTATGGCTCTCCTTAGAAAAATCCCAGCCGAAGCACAGACATTATGCCATGCCCCCAAGATATCTCTACAAGTGTATTGGTCCTTCGCTCAGGCCCGAAAATATACAGCAGTAAATGGGATGGGGGAACATTTAAATGGCAGTTGCATGGCTTTATCACACCGGTTGGTTACAAGCTGAGTCCGGCGGGTGCTTGAGTCACCACGTGGCATGGACATTGAAGCCCTTGCTGTCTAACCCAAGAGAAGTCAGAACCGTGGGCCTTTGGATCTCCAGCTGGCTCAAAAGAATAGCTGCAGTGACTTAGGAATGGAAATCTGGGCCAGAAAAGAGTGACATCCACTTAACAGTAAATAGTTGCTTGGTGGGGAGGATAAGTATTCTAGACAAAAAAGGGACAGGACGATCAATACCTTCATTTAACTTAAATTTAACTTTTTAAATTTAACTTGGCTTCTAAGTGTATGCCAGGCACTGTGCTGGGAGCTGAGTTTAAGAGGAATGTGATATGGTCTTATCCTCTAGCGCAGCTTACAGTCTAGCCTGGGAGACAGCCCTGCGAGCAACAATTAGGAGGCAATAAGATGTATGCTCTAATATCAGCGTATACCAGATGCCAGGGAGCCCAGAGAGGGGAAGGGATATGTGTGTCTGGTATTTTCACCGTAAGCATCTTTGCCATAGACTCTTCGCTGCAAACATTTTAACTGCCTAACTGATTGGCTGTAATGTAATCTTGCTGAAAAAGATAAAATAACGAAAAATAAAAGAGGGACATTAAAAAGGACATAATAAAACATGAACAATAAATAACAAAATTAAAAAGACTTCACATTTTCACCACATAATAATTGGCTGTATGCAATTTGGCCCTGAAAGATAAAATAATGAAAAATAAGAGAGACACTGAAGATGACATAATAAAATATGAAAAATGAATAACAAAATGCAAAAAGACTATTGTGAAATACAAGATAAATGAATGCATTTAAAATGTGTGCAGATTCATGGCAATACTGCACAAATAACTGATTTTATTTTGTGGGTAGTCCTTAAGTATTTGCCCTCCAAGTCTTCCATTCACAGCATTTTATACATTTTTTTCACTTGATCCCTCTCCTCGTTTTGTATCACACTTTTTCTTTTTTGCTAAAATGTCCTCCTTCATTAAGACAGGTATCGGTTTTCAAATGCTAGGATACATATTTGTAACTGAGCTCTGTATTGTGTTGTGAAAGCCTCTACACTGTTGTGTGTTCTTGGCACATTGTCACATGTCTGTTGATAGATGTTCCAAAGTTCTGTGGGAAATGTGGGTTCAAGTCTGCGCCTTCGAGGCCCTCTACCCTGTTCTCCTCCAATATAGTGTGTGTCCAAATGAGAAACCAACTCTTGGTGCAAATCATCATTTGTCAGCTGTCAGCTCCGTAAAGCCATCAATAACATCACTAACCGGAGGAAATGCTAGAGCATTTCAACCAGATGAAATCAAACCATCAAACCGAAAACTGTCAGCCAGGTTTTTTTTTCATCTTTCATGGCAAAATCGCTTCACAGCCAATTAGTTATGTGGCAAAAATGCTTGCGGCAAAGATGTCTACAGCGAAGATGCTTAGAGTGAAAGTATCTGGAAGCGGGATTTGTTCTCCCTGTAGGGAGTCAAGGGAAGATCAAAGGAATTTGCCTTGTGGGTTGATTCTTGAAAGCTAGAGAGAAGTTTCCAGTAAGGGCATTTCAGAT